TGCTTGTCGTTCAGTTTGTGTCTTGTCGTAGCTAGAACTAGTCTGAGACACGCGGAATTCTCTCCTGATCCCTGATATAGGGAAGGATCAAAATGTTCACTTCAAATCAGTGATTACCTGTTGCTGAAGGTTTGTTTTCCTGTCAGAACACGTAATTCATTTGCGACAGGAGACCTTTGTGACTTGCCCTAGTAATCGATTATGGGTTTAAGTATATGTTTGGTTTTTTAAGGTAGATGGCTTTACCTTCTTCCTTTACTTGGTAACGTTTGAAGAGAGTGCGAGTTCCTTGGCCTCTTCCTTTTGTGAGAGGAACCAAGTGACTGAGGCTTGTGCAAATGAGACGAAAACCCAGCGCAGGCCTGTGGAGTCTGGCTTGGGCACTGCCATAGATGCGATGTCCTTTGGTCTCATCGTGGCAGAGTGGGACTTGGCTTTGGTCGTTGTAAATCTGCGTGGGGTAACCCTAATAACACTGCTTCATCCTCCGCTTCATGGGTTTGGGAGCTGTACTGAGGGAAATGATTCCCTTCCAAAAGCCTGAGAGCCCAGGCAGTAAAGAGTGCAGAATCCAGTTTGGGCCCCTGCACCTAATAATCCAATTTCTACGGGTTTTAAAAAGATCAAAAAAAAAAATAGACTGTTGGATGAAGAAAAGTTGTGGATGTTTCAGAGGAAGAGCAGCTGCCTTTAAGCTTAAATTTTGTTCACAGTGAGTTTTAGACACTTGGAGGGGGGGGAAAAATCCGTCACCCGTTTGGCTGTGCACAGAACCCCTAGAATTCTCAAATCTATCTCAGGAAATAAGATTCAGTAGGCCAATGTGTTGCTAATTAATGATGGAAACTCTCTGCAGCTGTAATTCAGAATGAGGAACGAATGTGATTGTCTTAACAGGATTTTTTCCCAACTCCTTCCAAAATAATTGGGGTTTCTAACGTAAGCTTTCACTGTAACACTTCGAAATACTTGAAGTGACACTTTTGTATGTGGGGAAGCAAACGGGTTAGTCTCGTGTTTGTTTGGAGGAAGTGAGATGTACGGCTGGTGGCTGCAGCCGCGGTAACTTAGCAAACTGAGTGCAGTGAAGGAGGAGCTGTGGAGGACGCAGGTTGTATTGATCCTTACGTAGAATTTTACCTGTTTGAAGCCAGTCTAGATTATACGTGAGTGACGGTCAAGAACACTTACTGCTTCTACTATAAAATTCCCACTTGTGTTTTTTTTCTGTAAAATTGTTTCATTCTGTTTGAATGCTTAAAGGAATACATGTAATAACAAGGCTTTACATCTGCTGTTTTTCCTTTTAGCTTTCCTTGTACCTGTTTTTCCCCATAGGCATTTTTGCTGACCACTTATCCAGCTTCTTTTGGCCAAAATCTAGAGATCCACCAAATGATAATGCATTTACCATGTAAACAGGTCAAACATGCTTAATATGGAGGGGAAGACCATTCAGGTCTTTGGTAATACTGAGATTCCTCTGTTCTGCTGTAATTATCAGAGGAAAAACACACATGTGCAATGGTAGCTGAGCCTTTTACCAGCCCACAAAAGCCCTTTGGATATTCTCCCAGGGTAACAGGGTATAGTCCCAGCGAGTCATGGGATCCGTCGCAGCTATTTAAATCGGAAGGTACGTTGTGCTGCGTTCCCTCAGAGGCCGTTTGGCATCGGAGGATTGGATCTCTGAGCCGGCACCGCGGGAAAAGTAAGTTTCTCACCTGCTGGGTTGTCTGACCTTAACTTTGTTCTAGTTTTAGGTAGTCGCTTTGGTTATTTTCGTACTGATCAACACTGTGGAGTGCTTTCTGTAATTTTCAAAAATCGCATTTGGAAAGTATTGATGTTTGCCTATTGATGTTTGCCTAAATGTCTGAGTTCAGTTTGTGTTTTAATGAAGGTTAATATTTAAAATGTTCAATTAGATGTAGGACTTTAGCAGTATTGAACAGCAAAATGATTCATGTGTGAAAGCTTCTTCAAAATAATGGTACTCGTTTCCTTTCACCTGTTCTCTCTATACAGATACGTGCTTAATAAATTAAATTTGTGCATTCATAGATACTTAGTAAGTAATAGCTTAGAGGTTAAAATAGTTCTGTCTAAGTTTGTGCATAAATGTTCGTGATTAAATCGCTAAAAGTAGTTGGAAGCTTGACTGTGGAAACAGAATTTTGTATTTGGTTTCCCAGAGGTGAGAATTCAGTATTAATTGTAACGTTTCTTTTTGGCCTAATATGGGGCAGATGGAAACATCTACTTACTGAAACTCGGCCAGTATAAGAACAGCAATGATTTGATATTTGAATTTTTTGACTCAATAACTTGACAAACCACTAGACTTTGAGTTGCAATCCAGGAGGTTTGTTGTGGTTTGTTTTTTGGTGGGTTTCTTTTTTTTTTTTAATAGACAGCGACCAGGATTCACCAACAAATGAGGCCCAAGCGCAGTCACGTCTATGAGGCAATGAAAGGAGATTCACGCACTTGGACATAAAATTCGTTGGACTAAAAATTGGCAGGCATCCCAGTCTTTGTAGTTGTGGAGGGACTGGACAGGAAGAAACAAAACAACAACAACAAAAAACATGAGCAACAAAGAAGAGGAAAAGTGTACAATAGGAAATTGTTAATTAAGACGACATTTGATTACCTGCCATAAAAATCCAATAACTTAGGACATTTGATTTGCCAGAAAGCTGAAAGTATGCCTACATGGCACGCTCAGGAACACATAACATGCTGATTTTTTGGTTCAAAACCCCATTCCAGCAGTGACTGCTCTCTCTTTCTGTTTGCCTGGAGTTGAACTCCTGGTTTTGGTGCATCTGCAGTTTCTTCTGGCTGATAGTGTTGGTTCCAGGGCTGAAATGTAAGTGACAAAACTTGGAAAACATTGACCATATTTAAAGAAAGGTGAAATGCGCACTACATTCAGTTCAAAGTGAGGGTTTGTATCATATTTTTGAACACCTGGAGTAGAAACTCATTTTCTTACTAGGTCCAGGTAAGTCTGATTTTTTTGGACGACTTTGATGGGCCTCACACCAATTCACAATTGAGTATAATCTAGCTTTACCGTGAAAAGGAGTCCCACGGCAGTGAATCGTCTGAAATGAGATTTGAGTTTGGTATTAGTTCTTGGTGTGTGCGATTCATTCCTACAAAACCAAGTACAGTGAGTGTCCTGTCCCTCTCGTTTTCATGTAACTCCTTTTGCCAACTGAAAGAAGTGTGGGATTTCTGAGTGTTCTGGCCCTGAGAAATTAGGGTAGCAGTGCATGATACGGATGCTGGTGAATGTGCTGAATATGCCAGCTGGGTTAAAGTGATGGTTTATAGTTAATATGAAGAGTATGTGCTAACTGTGGCTAAATGAAATAACTTGGAGAGGAGTAGAAGTAGCTGAAGCTTCATGTTGCTTTCCTTGATTTATTTTTTCTTAATTGGTCGATGAGGGTATAGTAAAAAAAAAATAAGTTCCGGTATCTTGATACAAAAATTGAAGATTCAGTTTAATCAAAATCGTCAATTTAAGACTTAGATCTTAAAAGCTCTACTTGAAATCAAGAGTGCTAGAGGAAGGAGTGGAAGTGGTTGAGGGTTTGCTCAGGTGACGCAACCGTGGTGGTACAAACCCGTCCCTGCAGCCCTACCCGTTGGTCGGGTTTGGGGTTTTGCTTTTAAATAGGGGGAAGGTCTGTGCGGCATTTCAGGAGTGTTCGTAGTCTGTGTTTTACCAGTTCACATGCCAATAATCATAGCACGTTGTGGTATCTTAGGCATGTGTTTAGATAAATTCAGAAATACAATAAAAAAAAAAAAAAGTCGTCACCCGGCCAAAGAACTTAGTTGCTTCAACCTCTGTTTTCAGGGAAAAAAAAGAGTTTTCCTAGGTTAATGCTGGTTAGTTTTTAGTTGTGTGAGACCTATGTCGTGTGAAGGTGGTGATGCTGAACAGTTAACATATAAAATCAGCAATTATCAGGAGCAGAATCCATAATCGGCTTCACCCATTTTGTCAGGTATTTCTAGTTTTTATTTCATGCTTTGCCTGTCCTTTATGTTTCTTTTTGTTTCGATTACTTAAAACCATTGAATTGTGTGTTACATAAGAAGAGCTTAAACTAGATAACTTTATAAATTAAACTCCTTTTTTACCGCGTCTGTGAGCTTGCTGTCTTCTTTGTCGTTTGAAGTGTGTGAGGGGAGTAGGCAACTGCTGGAAAGTATTGGGCTCATTTTGGAGCGGGTCATTTATTTGCCTCTGTCCAGATGTGTATCCTACTTTTTTGCCTCCTAAAGGTGTTATTTTTGAAATCGATCCACAAATATTGTAATATACAGATCTACGCTTTCTAAAGTACTTGATTAAAGTTTAGGTATTCTATTTGCTAGACACTTAAATAGCTTTTGATGCAAGCCAATTTTTAGAGGAATCTAATTTTTTTAAGGAAATAGGTAATTACTTGCGTGCATAAGAATTCTGTGGTATGTATTCTCTGCTCTATCTGCTCTTGCACTTCTCCCTTCTACCCCAAAAGACGTGAAATCACTTTTGAATCTTATTTAACTGCAAATTAATTTTCAGCAACAGCTCTTAGAATCTTAGGTTTCCAAAAAACATCCACTACATAAATTTTGTACGTAACAGAAGACTTTTATGTTACTGTCGTCTTGTATGGGTGATATATGTAATTTTTAAAGAAGGACTTTTAAATTAATTCCAATTAAATAACACTCTGGAATGGCGTTTGCAGAGAGATGTGCTAAATGATACATAAGGGAGATGCTAAATATAACTACTAAGTAGTAGTATTTGTTTGAAACTGCAGTTTCAAATTAGAGCAACAAGAACACCACTTCTCATTTGTGTGCTCTGAAATGTAAATTGGTCGAGATTATAAACTCTGCTTGCTTGAAATCGTTAGGTCTTAATGTTGTTTTTGTTTGTCTTTCCCTTCTGCTTTCCCCTTCTGTCCCCTCTCCAGCTAAATGGCCTTAAAATGGCAGATGAGCCTATGGAGGAAGGTGAACCGTATTCCTACCATGTAAGTATCTGTGGTTTGGACACTCATTAGCATGGCTTCTGTTTGAAGCAAAATTCACGCGTTCCCTGCTCTTTAATAACTTTTGACCCTGCCATTTGATTTGACCAGATCTGAAGAGGCTCCAAGTCTCAAAGCTGGTTTTGAAAATGAGTATCTGGGTAGGGGCTGCAAGTGCCTCATTTGGGAAAGTTTGCTGCGAGAGGCAGTGCCTTGTGGGAAACAGATTCTGTGTACGGGCAAGAGCATTTACAGATCTCTCCCCCTCGGAAAATGCTCAGTCCAACCTTGAACCTTTTATACACAGTGTCTAATGTTGCTTTTACTACACTGTCATCTCTTCTTGAGTATTTTTTAATATAGTTGTATGATCATCTGGAAGGTCCTTCATTCCCGCTGGTTTAGAATGGAATTATTTTTTACACCAAGGTATTAATTTGACTTTTACATAGAAATATTTCAGATAAACTCCCTTGAGCAGGACTTTTGTCCAGTGCTTTGGGGGTGTGCGTATTTAGGAGATGCTGAGGATCAGCGTTCTCTCTGCTGACTGAATCTCGAATTAACCTTCAGGCTAGTTCTGTATGTGGTGAAACACTTGAATTTGTGTGGCAGAACTGGCCATCATTTCCCAACCCACCCATCTATGTATTTTTTTTTGAACAGTACCAGGGAAGAAGCTCTAACTAACTGCTTCATGTTGCAGTAAGAGCAACCTTTAAGTCAGTCTTTTGGAGAATAAACTCTGGGGGGTAGAAACATGTAGTGCTTGGATGTTTCCTGGTGTGGAGTAAGTAAATAAACGATCAGTGTCAGAGTCATCTTACACACAGCAAAAAAACCCCCGAGCAATGGGTTGTCTCAATCTTTCCCTGTACTTGAACCAGAAGGATGTTGCTGAGCTTGTTTGTTAGGTGCTTGGAGCTACATACCAATCAAGCTGTAACGAAGTAGGATGGCACAAAGCCACGACCGATCGCGGCGCATCTTTCCGTGCTTTGTCTTCTGTCCTACCTGCTGGGGAGAGTTCCCTTGTGCACAAGGAGCTGGTACCTGAGCCCTGCGACAGATTTGCTGCTCAAGCAGCAGAGCACAACATCAGATTACCAAATTTGCAGTTCATGGAGGCCAGAGTAGAAATGAAAATGAAACTGGCTTTTGTATCTGTTCACACTTGCTTATGTATCTGTTGTGTTCTTTACCAGCTCATTTCTCCTCAACGATACCGAGATCTTTTTACACTTGAGTCATGCCAGTTTTTAGTACTTTAATGTTAGTTAAATAGGTGGAAGTACATAGATATCTGTTGTGAAAGTAAAACAATCTATAAAAAAAAAATCTCATTTCGTGCATCTCAAGTTATTCTTTATTTGCATGGAAAACGTTTTTTTTCCTCGGTTCACATTTAGAAATACTCAGTCTCCGCAGCAACCACATGTGATGTCACAGGCTAATGACTCAAGGTGGGTGATAAACAGAAGAGCAGGTGAACTCTTAAAGATCTTTTCTCATGCAAACGTTCACACTGTTAAGGAATACAAATTAGGATGGTGAAGTAAAAAGGCTTCGAAATAAGAATATTTACATATTTTATAGGAACAACAGACTTAATGGCTGGTTCTGCAACTTGGTCTGTAACTAGACAGCTTGCTGCTTTCATCTGTTGTCAGATGACTGGAAGTGCAACTGCTCTTACTTGCCTTAAATTCCAGTCTTGTATTTAAAAAAATAAATTAAAATGGAGATGTGATTCTTTCCTATGAATACAAATATGCAGAGTCAACAAAATGTGTGGATGAGGAGAAGTTGGGATATGTACATTGTATCATCAGTGTGTGTCAGGTTGGGGGTTTGTCGGGGGAACAAAATGGGAACTAAAGTAGCTTACTGGGTGAATGAAGGAATTAACTTTGTTACCCAGCAGCATCTGGTGTTAGTGCCTACCTTTGTGTGGGAAGCAGGCAGAGCAGACAGACCTTTTCCAGTAAGAGTATGGAATAAAAGATAAAGAGGAGGGGAAGGACTCGTGTGCAATAAGAGCTGGACTACAGTTGGTGAATATACCAAGGTGTTAGTGTGAATTTTTTCTTTCTCTCTCCTTCTGGACAGACAGACAAAGCAATTAAGGTGTAGACTGTTAATGCAGTGTGATGATTATCTTCTTGGGGTTTTTTAATTATTGCAGGAAGTACGTCTGCAGTTAGATGATCAGGTTTCTACCCTGAATTTCTGTGTAAACCCACCTAGAGGATTTCATCTTGGTACTTCTGTGTCAAATCTGATACTGCTGACTCTCAGTTTTAACGCACGACCTCGGGCAGCAAAGCTTTGTGTAGTCAAGCTGACTGTAGATGATTTTGTTATCGAAACCCCGCTGTTTCGTCAAGTGGCCAGGTCTTTCTGGTGGTTTTCATACTTGTCATTGAGGGAGAGCACCTGTAGGTTGCATTTTTGTGGCCTCTGCTAAGAGAAGCTTTCAAGATGCAGATCTGGAGAGGATAGGATGACGGTTAATAGTTATTTGGATACCCTAAAGACGTTGAAGCTCTGCAAATCACATGGGGTTTTCTGTTGTCATTGGGTTGTATTGGCAGTGTGCAAGAAATGAATTTGCGTTCTACGTAAGGCTGAGGAGAGCTGCTCCTTTTGTACGTGCAAGCTCAGGTTGCTGCTGTGGGCCTTAGCACTAGTCTGAAGTTCAAAGGGTGCCTATTTTGACATCTCACTTGTTTTGGCTCACAGAAACTTCTGTTACACCATAAAAGCTGCAATACATCATCCGATTTGTTTTCGTCACGGATGTTTGTCTTTTCACAATTGTAGCTGCTGTGCCCTGCTGTGCTAAAGATGAGAGTAGCGGGGAAAAGGCAACAGAATGCTAAATCTTCTCCCTACCTCAGGCATGCCCTCAGCTTTCTGAAGGAGGTCTCTGCACAAGATAATCTTTCCAGGAGCTCTGCATCCCAGAGCTGTTTCTTCTGTTGGATGCAAGAATTCTTAAGATGACTCATATTTTATTTATGTTCTTCAAATGACGTGTGTTCCTCTAGCTACAAATGGATGACCGTATTTATTATTTGCTGCTGTGAAAAGCAATAATTACCTAAAATGATGAAATTCAATTTAGCTTTCATTAAGAGTATTGCAGGAAAGGGAAAGATGAGAAAAATAATCACTGGGACAACTAAAGGCCACTAAAACAGAGGTGAAGCACAGAGAGATCATCTTAGACTTGCTTTAAAAATCTGTTTGTGTAAGAAGATTCATCTTTGTTGCAGTTTTAATATTTATGGAAAAAGGAGATGAGTGTTCTTTGAGAATTTTCCCTCAGTTTAGAAATTTTAGATATATCTGTTTAAGAAAGGATGGATGGGAAAACTCTTCATTTCAACAGCTTTCTTTTATGTCTTATTAGAATTCCAAATATTTTTTTCAAAAAATAAAGTGCAGGAATTTACGTGTACTTCTAGCAAGAGTTGATTAATTCAGGCCTGTTCATTGTTGTATTTTGTTTGCCTTGGAATAACAGGATGAAGGAAGTGTGAAAGAGATTCCTATTACACACCACGTGAAAGAAGGATGCGAGAAAGCAGATCCAGCCCAGTTTGAGCTACTTAAGGTTCTTGGACAGGGATCGTTCGGAAAGGTAAGAGAACAAACTTCGTTTGCACCTGTTGCTGCTGACAAATCTCCTTTTTCCAGTCTTGCTTTGGTGCCCAGGGAGCGTGTTTCTAGCAGGGCATCAGAGGGACAGCAGCCTCGGTCTCTAGGCAGAAGGGTCCGTCAGTGGTAAATTGGGGGAGCTCTGCTGTGGGAAGATGTGGTGTGGTTTGCTTGAAGTGAGCAGAGAGGCTTGTTTGTGGTTCATCTGGGCTGGCACGTGGAGCTTCTTGGGAGCACTGGCCCCGACAATAAGGGATTTGGCCAGTTGGGGACGGTTTTTACGCAGCGGCTCTGGAGTTGTTAACTCTGTTTGCCTAACGCCGTGGCGCTTTGAAGTAAAATAATAGTGTTTTCAACTGCCTCAAGACTTTACTGCGGCATCTAGTGAGGAGTCGGAGTGAACTTGGCTTGCATCTTCCGTAGCTTTAGTTGATGCTGGGGAGGCACCGGTGGTGTCAGTAGACACTTCTGGGGGAAGTGGTGATTTGTCTTTTGGTGATACTCGACACGCTGTGAGTGCTTGACTTCATTTGATACACAAAATCTGTGTTCATGTAGATGGAGAAGAATGATTGTGATAGTTTGGAACTCGCACCAAAGTAATGTATCTCAGATTTTTTTATTTTACTGTATTTAAGTACAGCTAAAAGACACTAAATGAACAATTATTCAAATAGGGTCTAGAAGAAACAAGGCAAGCTTTTTGTTAGAATAATTTCTTTTTGTAATATGCCACTCGGTGTCACATTGCAGAACTTAAAAATCAAATGTGTCAGTCACTAGTTTGAAAGACATTATTTGAAATATTAATTCCAGTGTATAAGAAGCTATTTTATTTTTTAAAACCAGACTCTTCAAGTAGGTCTTTTGCAACACATAAAAAGCAGAGGATCATTTTTATGTATGTTTCCATTTTCCTGTTCTTCTGCTGGTTTTGTCTATCTCGTGGCAGGAACAAACATCTCCATAGTTTTACTAGTGAAGGGGGGAAAAACGTAGACATTAGGAAAGCATTCTGTGAATAAGTGGTAGTTTAGAAAATGAGTGTTAAAGTATTAATATTTTACAGCTTAAAGAAATATTTCTTTAAGTGATAATGTTAAACTTTTCGTCTTCAGAGCCTGAAAGGCTCTGTGCATTTATTACACCTGACTCAAGATGACTTTAGCTATCTCTAGGGTTTCGGCCCCAAATCAGATTCTTACTTCACAGAGTTCAGGCTTCTGACAGCCTACAAAACGCTCTTGTGCAGAACCCTACCAGCGTGCTGAAGTGTCTGCTTGGGAGCTTTTGAAACATGGCAGTGCTTGGGTCAGGAACCAGCTTTAAAAATTGAACGGCAGCTGTTGCGCATTTGCGCGGAGCTCTTTTCATCCTATATTTGTTGCTTTCTGTTGGAAAAGAGGAAACGAACAGCAAAGATCGATGGCTGTTGCCTTCATGGTGTTTGTTTTCTCTCTCCAGTTCCTACTTCCCAGGGAGCTCCCTTGGGGTTTCGCAAACACGAGGTTTGTTTGCTCCAGCCCATTATGGTGCTGCAGCCCTTCCTGTCCTCTACTTGTCTCTCTTGGCATCTGTGTGGGATTTAGTGCTGTTCCGCAGAAAGAAAGGATTAAACCTCACGTCTGAGTTTCTCTCTTCAGCCTTTGATAACGTTCTGAGGCTTCAGCGCCAAGTCTGCTGAAAAGTCTTCGATTTGCTCCAGTGAATCACTTGGCACAGGGTGTGTCCCCACCTTGGTTGTGCCTTACAGTCGAACAACTGACGGTCGTGTCTCCACGTGACGTGGGATTATGGAGACTCTCTCCCAATCTTTGATGGTGCTCGAGTAGTTTTCAGCGGCAGCTGGTGTTGGTCCTCATTAGCTAGAATTTGTAACTCGTACATGAATGCCTTACATTCTCATAAGCAGCTAAAATATTTGTACATGCTTATTAATGCTTTTTTAAAATTGTGATTCTACTAATCTACAGATGTTTTCTTGCTTGCTGGTGTTTGAATGACTTCGTTTACTATTCGAGCATCAACATTGAGAGCAGTGTTGTAGGTCAATTACTAAACAAACCAAAAAGCCTGAAAACCTTCGAACACGGTTACATTTTTTTATTAACCAGAGCTGAAAATAAAAACAGCTGCTGCACAATTCAGCCAGTCACAGCATACGAATTTTTGATTCTAGAATGGAGAAGTTGAGAAGCTTATTTGAGTATTCTTTAAAATTTTCTGAATATTTAATTCCTGATGAAGTATATATGTAAATAAATCTAGTGTTAATGAAAGTCTGAATAAGGTAAGATCAAAGAGGCAGTTTCAGGTAGTTCTTGGCATTCTCTTGTGACTTGTGGGGTTTTTTATTGTTTTTGTGGGTTTTTTACAGTTCAAACTTTCCTCATAATTAATAATTGCTATCACAAGAAAAAAACCCTTGCAAACAGGAACACCTACCGAACAATTTTGCAAATTGAGAGACCTCATAGTTGACATGTTAGTCGGTAGAGGCACATGCATTATTCTATCTAATGTTTTGCTTTTCGTAGTGTCAAGTTATCTTTAAAGCTCCTCTGGAAAGAAAAGAGTAGAAAGACCTGTTGGAGTTGCTGTTCCAGAGGGAAGGGGTGCTTTGATCTTAACTGGGGAGGTTTCCTCGCTTTCGTCTCGCCACTCTTGGAGAATTCGTTAATGCAGCCTGTTACGTATTGAAGACTTGGGTCTTGAACTTCAGAAGTCATTTAGGAGGTGGCAGAGCAGGCGGAATGGTCATTCTCCAAGAAAGTAGTATACAGAAACACCTTTATATATGTATTTATTTGATATTTATTTAAACAACTTGCTATAGGAAAGAATGTATCGTTTATGACCAGCGCGAATACTTCAGAAAGCTTGGTGGTGCGTGTACCTCTAATCTGATGAAAGGAATGCAATTTTGCCCTTCCTTTCACGATGTGTACTTAGGAAAGAACACCGAAAGCTTCCTGAAATTAACAGGAAGGTTTGTGACAGTTGCTTATTCAATCACTAAGCTTGCTTGGGCAGCAGGATTTACTGTGATTATTTGGTATTTTTTCCTTCCTGGAGGTTTTTGAAGGATGGTACTAGGGATGGGCCATCTCCTTGTCTGTATTAACGAAGCTAGAAGTAAAGACACAGTAGTGTTTGGATTTTTCTTGTCAGCTTTACATAAAACATTTGTAGCAGTTATTTTAAAAGAGGTGTTTGTATTTCCAGGTCTTCCTCGTACGGAAAATAATTGGTCCCGATGCTGGGCAGCTTTATGCAATGAAAGTATTGAAAAAAGCTTCTTTAAAAGGTATGTGTATCTTTTGAATTGGGACTTCAGAAAAAGCTTTTCAATTCACCTGTAACTCTCAAATGAGGTTTGCAAATACTTATTTTTAAAATTTTTTTTTTTAAAATCTCATATATATTGAGGGAGTTCATAACTCTTCTCTGAAAGTAGTTTTTCTCTAGAGTAACTTGTTAGTTCTTGTTTAAGAATTGTTTTAAAGCTGGCCAGATAGCTTTAATTATGTGGTAAAAAGTACTCTTTGAAAGTTTTAAAATTGGGCTATTTAATTTTGCTTAGCCTTTTCATTATATTAAAACAAATTAATTGCGTAAACAATTTTCCTTTTGTCTTTTGTTAGGTTAGAACTCTACTGTGGTTAAAATGAAGTCATTCCTTCTTGTAGGTGCCATAGCAAACACTAACTTACTGGTTTGGCTTTCAGAAGACGCTTTAATGGATGTGAGGCCACTGTGTGTAAATAGGGACTTTTTTTGGCTGAAGAGGAGAAAGTAATCTTGAAAGACAAAATACCTAATCAGTACAAATAGTTAATTCAGAGGCTGAAGTTAGCTGCCTGGAAATGTAAATGCTAGTGCTTTTTTCTTGAAAGTAATATGGATTTTGCCAAAATATTGGCGGGAAAAATGAAGATGAGACTGGGGCAGGTAAGAAACGAAATAGCATTTTGCTGTTGGAAAGCCGTGCGTATTATGGCAGACATAAAACCAAATGAGGTAACGAAGAAACGTATTTCATTAGGACAGCAGAGACTTCCCATATGCTAATTTTTGCTCCATCTGTGTTATACCAAATACATTTGTTTCATACTTGTCTTTTTTTCTTTATTTCCTCCTCAGTTCGGGATAGAGTTCGTACAAAAATGGAGAGAGATATATTAGTAGAAGTTAATCATCCGTTTATCGTCAAACTGCACTATGGTTGGTATTTGTTTATTTTTGCTACAGTTTCTTTCATTGCTTGAAAGCACAGCTGATCTTGTTCTTTCTCAGGTTTTTTTGTCCTTTTTAGTCACCAAATTGGGTTCTAGCAACTTTAAATCCCAGGGTTAGGAAAGGAGTGTAAATACACACGTGTATAAAAGCTTTAGGTTAAGTCCTCTTGAAAGTAAAGATTCGGAAAATTCTTACAAGTTTGCCAGTGATTTATTTTTTATTTATTTTTTTAACTTCTCAGTGAGTAAAGCCAAAACGCAGTAATTGACATACTTGTTATCTCCCTGTTTGACAGAGGAGAAATAAAAGAACAGTATTTTAATGATCTCTTATGACTAGGATTGTCTTTCGTGAAGAAGCAGGTGACTGTTCAATACGTTACCTCGTGTGTTGCTGGATTATTTCAGTTCCATAACAAAAGTATTGGCTCTCACTCAAATTTTTAGGTTGTAAAAACACTCAGATCTGTTTTGTAGATCAGCTTTGTCACATGGTTGTTGATTTCCTTTTTTTTCTGGTTTTTTTTTTTAAGCCTTTCAGACTGAAGGGAAGCTATATTTAATATTGGATTTTCTCAGGGGAGGAGATGTATTCACGCGATTATCCAAAGAGGTAAGTACCTAAAATTTTATCTCCACTCAGTGCTAGACAGGGGGGGCTTTTTGTCAGTATAGAATTGTCACCCGTAGCTGTTTCCCCCCATATTTCTTGTTACTGGTTTCAATAACTCAGTTGGGCTTCCCTTCCATAGTCTAGAATATATTCTATAACCTGAAGAAACATGAGTGTGTATTGATTAGTGGCCTATGTTTTAATTTGGTATCTGCAAAGTACAGTTCTTCTGCCTAAAAATGTGGTGTTGCTTGGAAACCTGACTGAAATAAATTAAGATTTAGCAATAAAGAAAGAGGACGTATAGTTCTCGTGCTTGTAGTCACCTGAGGTGCTCCTGGAAGCCTGCATCTATCGGAGGTTTCTGCTGCATGGTAAAATTGCCTGATGCTGTGATCCAAACCCTAATGCTTCATCTCACAAAGTAGTTTTCTCTCTCTGGGTATTATTTCATCTCACGGGGTATTTTTAAGACCACTCCCCTTCATCTGTCATTGACACGCAACTGGAAGTTTAATTTTTCATTTCTATTTTTCTTTTCTGGAGAGACATCTTCAGAGGGCAGGGACTATGATGCAGCACGGTGTTTATTTTTTAAGCATTTGGCATCAAATATTTATCGTACGTTACCTTACATATTGCAAACATGTTTGTAAGATTTTTATTTGCTTTCTACAAACCTTTTGTAAAGATCTAAATTTTTAATGGCAATTTTCTCAATAACCTCACGGTAAGAGAGCTTTCTGGTGTTTTCACCAGTGTAAATGCATTTATATTGCTAATGCGTAGGGAAGAACACTTTCTGTAGTGCGAAAACTGGCTATCAGACTGATTTTTTTTAATTTTTTTTATGACATGGAGGTTGTTGTATTCCCAGTATGTAAGGCCATGAGCTAGATTTTTTTTTTCCCCTATATACCTTTTGTAAAGATGAAGCTTTACTTTACGAACGGGCAGAAAAAAAGGAAGAATTCAAAGTGGGTTTTTTTCCTTCTTTTTTATTAAAAGCTGCCCTTGGTAAAACAGTGATTGTGTCTAAGCCTTGAGCTCCAAATTAATTAACCCTGAGGGTAAAATGGAAGTTAAAAGCTTAAACTCCCCGACTTGGTTAAAGGGCTATTGGAAGAGGTCAGTGCGGTTTGATATAGGATGTCTAATTATAGAGGAAATTCTGGTATAGCAGGAAGAACTATTCTTTTGCCCTGACACAGCCAGGATTGCAGACTCTGCAACCTTCTTAAATAAGGGATGCGAGTCGATCCGTAGTAATACTTGCTAGGTGGTTGAAAGAGCTTTTTGTTCCCTTTGCAATTAAAGAAGTAATAATTGTCAAGTTTTCTTACTGTTAAGTCTCTATGTGGTTTTTTTGGAAGACTTCAGTTGCCTTCCGTGACGGCTTTTAAACCCTTACTGTACATATAGATTGGGAAAACCAAACCAGGCCTTTTTATTTTCTGGTGGGAAGACAGGATGTTTTCAAAAAAAACCAGATAGTGGACAATTCACGTGAGGGTAAATTCCCCGTGGCGTTTCATACGTTCCACACAAGGATTATTTTAAATTAATTGGGTATAGCACAAGGTTATTAAAACACTTTTGTTCATATTTGAATTCTAATATGGCTATGACAGCTTCAGCTGTGCAAGTGAAGTGAGTGTATAATGGAGTTTTTGTTGGTAACTTAATGAAGTTGACTTGCATTGTGTATAATTTGACACTGAAGGTAGTTCTGAGTGAAATTATTACTGGGAGATTATGAATTACCAGGTTAGTGTCATTGTATTCTGAGATTTGCATTTTGGCTACTCCGAGGAGTGCCAATATCCCAGTTTTCCGTAGTGCCAATATCCCAGTTTTCCGTAGTGCCAATATCCCAGTTTTCCGTAGTGCCAATATCCCAGTTTTCCGTAGTGCCAATATCCCAGTTTTCTGTAGTGCCAATATCCAAGTTTTCTCTAGCGCCAACATCCAAGTTTTCTGTAGTGCCAAGTTTTCTGTAGTGCCAATATCCAAGTTTTCTTCTCACTGTCTTGGATATAGATGGAAAACAGTATTAACGTTGCTTTGTAAAAAATTTAAGGGGAAACTTGTGTAGTGTAACAGCTTTATTGTTCATACAGCATTAATATCTATCAGGGAAATTAGGAATATAGCCTTATCAGCTATCGACTGTACAGCTGAGGTGGCTGCACTCTTTGTTCCTGGTGTTTTCGCTTAAACCTCACATAAAGTTCCCATAATTTAAAGGCTACTAATGCCTCCAGTAATTTGTAGAACGTGACAAGCCACAGCAGGGTGAAATTAGCATCAACCAGTTGAGTATTTAGGACAGAACTTCATCTCTCCAATGCTCTATATGCTATGTCAGTCAGTTTTTTTCTAATCAGAAGGATTCTTCACATTTCTTTTCCTAAGGGGACCAGAGTAGGTTCTTCAACTCCCACTGCAGGTTTTCATGTCACTGTCATTTTAACCAAAGTGTTTTGTTTGCCTACCTCCTTCCTGAATTATTTCTGCTTTTGTTTTTTTTAATAGTGCTAATGTGAATGCAGCAGTCATTTACTAAATTTTATGATGCAGTGGAAAACAGTCTGTATAGGATGGCGGCAGAAGGAGTGCTGGTGGTCAATAACACCAAAAATAACAATTAAATTTATTACCTTAAAAGTTAGCTAATGCTCTGTGGTAACTGCTGATATTTTTGTTTAAGGTAGTTCTTTTGTGTACCTGATGATTAGCCTGTGTTAGTAAATAATTTCTATTAGTTGAGTTCATAAATGAAGAGTTCATTAGGTACCTCTAGAACTTATTTTGGAATTTAGGTGAACAGGACTATATTTTATTAGATTGCAGTTTTAAAAACTGAAGACAAGATCAGAAGGTAAATCTATACAGTTCTTATTAGGTTATGTTTACAGAGGAAGATGTGAAATTCTACCTCGCAGAACTGGCCCTTGCTTTGGATCACCTTCACAGCTTGGGAATTGTATACAGGGACCTGAAGCCAGAAAAGTAAAGTAAAATGTATTTTACCGCTATTACGTGTATTTTGCTTGTTGCTTTGCATTTTCTGCTACAGTGATACAGAAACTTGTATTTATTAGACTGTGTAAACAAATGTAAAATGTAAAAAAAAAAGAAAGAGTTTAAATGTAATGATATTGGCTTGTTAAATTAATAACAAGTTGGAGATAAAAATTGTTTAACTATTATATTTAAAATGTTCTATGTAAACATTCCTCTATGTGTATTGGTGAATGTGAATTTTAATTTTCAGCATTTTGCTTGATGAAGCAGGACATATCAAGTTAACAGGTAGGTAAAACTTCCCAGTATTGCACTTTCTGAACATATTTTTGTATAAGCTTTCAGTTCTAATGCCCATGGTTAAAGAAAGGTAGTTGAAAACACAAAACCAGACATTGAAAGTGTGTTTTAAAGGAGCTGTAGTTGCGATGGGGGTATGTTAGTAACTAAAACTTTTTGCTATTCTTGTTAAAACACGAGCCATATCAAGATGTACTGTGAAATGCCTTATGACTAAAGATCAAGAGGTCACAGACACAGGCTAAAGTTGCTGACTGTGAGACTTTTAAAAGGGAGCAGAGGTGCTTTTGGTGTAAAATGATTTTTTTTTTTAGTGCACAACAAGACTTCTGAAAGACTCCTTTTTTGTTTCTGGATTATCGCTTTTAAATGCATATGAAATTGCAGAAAAATGTTCTATGAGGAACAATTAAAATACATATATTCTAGGAAATGATATATACAAGACTGATGAACATTACTGTGAATTTCTAAAAGCTTTAAATTACCTTTAAGGTGAGGCTTTTGTCAGTATGTATTTTGATCTATAGCTATTGGTACCAGATTCCAAGGGGTGATGGTTTTCATCACCATTTATTCCATCGGGTCTTTGAGAGTTTAAAAAAAGCTTCCTGTTCATAAAATGCGTTTTTAAAAATCTGCATGATGTATTTAAATCCATTTCGATTCTAAAATTGGCACTTCCTTTTGAAACAGGAAAGAGTAGCTCGTGGGTTATAGATTAGGGATTGTTTCTGCTTTAAAACCAGGGACATTTGAGGGCCTCGTCTTGCGAGCTGGGCTGATATCGAGGTCTCATGTATTCAGTGGCACTGTTCAAAGTACCAAAAAAAAACCATTCTGGGAATACAGTGAGCAGATACACGAGACTACTGAATTTGAGTCAGGTTGCAGAACCCTGTTGTCTTATATAACAACAATATTTTTAGTCTGATTTTATTTACTCATCGCTCAGTAATCCTGGGCTGTGCAGACTGTGTTCTCTTTGAAACTCTTGTACTTCAGTCCATTTTTTTGTGTGTGAATAAAGCACGCAGTAAATAGAGAAAACAAGACCTTTTGATTATCTGAAGGCTCTAAACGTGTACTATGTCAAACACTGAGTTATTTTTAATAGTAATATCAAGGGCTAATCATCAGTTTACTAAGACTTATAGAATGGTTTAGGTTGTGTGTGGTAAAAATAATGTCTGTGGTATCTGAAAATCTGCTTTAATCATGTAATATTTCTCAAAGCAAACAAAAGCTGTTGACACTTTGCTTTTGATTATTATTTTTTTTTAAAATACAGTATTGTGTTTTTGCTAAAGTTTTTTACTGGCTTTATTCTTGTAATGCTGTTGTTATAGACTTTGGACTCAGCAAAGAATCGGTAGACCAGGAGAAGAAGGCCTATTCTTTCTGTGGTACTGTAGAGTACATGGCACCTGAAGTAGTAAACAGGCGAGGGCACAACCAGAGTGCCGACTGGTGGTCCTTTGGGGTTCTCATGGTACTGTACGCTTCGCAAATCCGCCGCGCGTGTCTGAAGCGAACGTGAAAGAGCGTGGTTAGAATGAGCTTGTCCAGATCTCGGTACGAATGTGTGGGCAGAGAGAACTCGATAACTGAATTGCTACTGAAATAGCAGCTAAGTTGAGGAAAGTTTCACCCCTAAGCAGGTGAAAAGTAAAGGACCCACCCCTGTAAGGGGAACTTAACAGGAACCATAAAAATCCTGTAGAGTTCATTAGTGGTTTAGAACACTTGTAGTCAGTGCGAGGCTTCACTTTGTGTATGTATTGCTCACGATGCTTAAAGAAAAAGCTGAAGGTTTGAGGGACTGTTAATTGCATTTTTGTAACAGTAAGCCCGTGGAGTGAATACTGGAGCGTGGTGCAAAAAGCCGGGAACCACGAGCGCTTACACCTTTGCCATCATGTGTTAGAGTGTCAGGCTGAAACATGCATATTATCGTTAAAAGCAAAGTACTGTTTTAAAATGTTTTCTTCTTGCTGTTTTCAGAGCGTGGCAACCTGTAAAGCTTGGTTATGGAGGGGATTTTATTACTTTAAATCAAGTAGCTTATGGATGTAAAATATTCCTACGTCATCGTGACATGACACTTGCCATTGTTGTTGTTATGTAAACTGCAAATGAAAACAAAATTTTAGATTTGTGACCTTGATAATCTTTCTAAAGCTCAAGCCAGTATGTCTAGCAAAGGGGTAGGGAAGAGTTGTGATACTTAACGCTTTGTCTGAGCAGTCGGGGGAAGAATTGTTGATTTAGATTAACATTTGTTCTTTTCAGTTTGAAATGCTTACTGGTACCCTACCATTTCAAGGTAAAGATCGAAATGAAACTATGAATATGATACTGAAGTAAGTATATCTTCTTACCTTTCAGAAAGTCAGAGAATGTCATTTTAAATGTGTTTTAACAGCTTGTTTTAACTCCTTGTGCTTGAAGACAATTAAGCTGGAACAGGAACAAAAAAGCCAAGCCCCTCCTCCCCAGGTTTAGAACCCAGACCATGCAAATACTATTAAGTATCTGCAGGAATTAAAATCTCAGGGTTGAACTTATATTTTCAGTGTAGGTGTGTAATAAAGATAAAACCAGTACAGGGAATTAGACCGGCATTATTTACCACTTGTGGTGTTAGACTCAATTGCTACTGTTGGGGCACAGGGTATTTTGTAAGCAGTAGTTAATCAGGTGTTGCTTTGTGTCCCTGTGCATGGAGAGCCAGTTTACGCGCTCACATTTTTTCATATTAAATTACCTCAGTTACAACGAAAGCTGCCAAACGAGACAAACTGGGTAAACTGGTGATTAGTAGGTGAAGTTGTTGGGCAAATACGTTCTCATCTGTATTTGTAGTTAGCTGACAAAGAATTTTCTTTAGACCACGTGAGGGAAAAGCTTCGCCCATGCCAACAAGTGAGGAGTTTACAGCGATTTTATTTGGGAGGGGATTGGATCTCTAACCTCACCTGGAGCTCCAAGTGATGCTGCAGTTCTGCAGTCTTAGAGTAATTGCGTGCATAAAATAAGCTTAATCAAGTCTGTAAGGTTTTATACGATGGCTTAACGAGCTACTTCTGGAGGAGGAGTGTTTAGCAATTGCTTCAGGGGCAAGTGATCTGGGATTTGGGGAGTCTCTTCTGGTGTTGGTTCTGGTAGAGGTGTTTTGGTGGTAGCTTCCCCATGATGGGAAGGTATCTCTGAGAATACTTACATATTCCTGAAATAATTGTCTGACTATTTTAGCAGAAGGCTTGTTTTGGGGACTTGGGTGGAGTTTGGCTTTTTTGGTCTGGTCTAGTTTTTGTTCGACTTTTGGGTTTGTGGGTTTTTTTCTTTGTGTTGGGGGTTTTTGAAAGCACTCTCATAATGTGAAACTTAAAAGCTAATGAGTTAAATGTGTACACTCTGCAAAACTTGGGAAGAGATCCTTCACACATCAAATTGTGCTATGAAGTCTGTGTAGACCGTTTTTAGTAAGACTTGTTTCTCCCTCTTACTTATTCTCTGTTTCCCTTTAGAGCAAAACTTGGAATGCCTCAGTTCCTCAGCCCTGAAGCACAAAGCCTTCTGAGGATGCTGTTTAAAAGGAACCCATCAAATAGATTAGGTTGGCTCATTTATTTGGATCTTTGGAATAGAAGCAGTTTATTTAAAGAAAGTAGACGGTGGAGACTCTCAGGCTCTGGATGGTCTGTAAGATTTGGGTTTAGATTTTAGAATACTGACGCTCTGTATTTATGGGCTTCTTGCACTCTGTTTGCCATCCTGATGAGGTGTACGCTACTCAGTCGAGTATTTTACAGCCTGGGAATATGTCTGAATTTACAGTTCCCTCAAATAACCATGTCTATGCAAAATTTTTTAGAAATTAATTCATTTTCAGTGCAGTCTCGAAACACTTTACCCCAAAGTGTTTTAAATACAGTATTTTCTATGTTCAGGAGCTGGCTCAGATGGAGTTGAAGAGATCAAGAGACACCCCTTCTTTTCTACTGTTGACTGGAATGTAAGTACAAAATGATGTGAATGATAAAGCTGGTTTTAACTTTTCTATCATTATAAGCATTTGCATCTGAATAGGGCATGATAAACACCGCAGCAGTGCTGACTTACATTCCTACTAAAATCTTACTTGGCATCTGTTTAGTATTTAGTATTTATGGTATGGAGAGTATTAATTATGAATTGCACATTTATTTTTCTAAATAATTAAGAGCTGTGGCATTCTAGGGCTTACATTGTCTGCTAGAGCATTTGTAGTTGGGAGAGGACGCTGGTGTTCCCTGTGTGTGCAGGAATCCGTCTGTGCAGCACGTGTCTGTCTAGCGCTGCCACGCAGGGCGCAGAAACTTGCTGTGCCGGTCATTTTCTTTGCCTTCTCTCTAGCTGCCCACAGCCCGTTCCTCTTTCATCAGCCCTATTCCACTCGCAGGTGAAGCATTGGTTCAGGTGCTCGGAGATGATCGGAAGTCTGTGCGAGTTCACGATTGCTGGCCTAAATTTTTAACAAGCACTTTGATGCTTTTTCCTCTTGGGTTCTCTAATCTTTTGAGATGTGTTTCCCAGAAACATTCTCAAACCCAAGCTGCTCTGTATCAAACAAATCCCCTCAGAAAACACCCCTTCGCTATAATGCCGACAATAAATAAGGTGTTGCTGTGCTGGCAGGGCTACCTGCAACGCGAGCCAGTGCTCTGCTCAGCTGTTGCTTTTAAAGCCTGTTGTCATTATCCCTTTTTTTTTATCTCATGTACTTCGGAGAAAGTGGGTTTCTAGCTGTGTTTATGCTTAGTCCTGATTAGCAAGTAGAGGTTTCAGTAACAGCAAAACATCACTGTTTTATGTGAGTACACTTTGTAACAGAAGATCGTGTTCTTATGACTTGATTATCTACTCTTTTTTTAAGGGAACAATGTTGAGATAGATACCAGCAAGGAAGTTTAAAATATTTGCAGTTCTGACTCCCTATTTTTTCTTTTATCAGTGCTCTGTATTTATATTTCACTATGCTGGTGGTGTTGACCACTTCTGTATTTTATTTCTTTGGGATTCATTCAGGTTCCTCTTCCTTTGTTTTTGGGCTTTGTTATAATTTTTTAAATGGAAATATGTTGCATGTTCTTCTGCAGGAAGATGAAATGAAAAGAACTGCAAAAACTAGGTCTGAAAGGATGAGAGAAATGCTAAGAAAATGTTCTCAGAACTTCCTGAACTTTGCATGGGGCTTTGACATCATTTGACATGAAATTTTCTCTTTCACTTGCTGCTGATTTGAGGTCACTTGGGCAAGGTGTTTTTCCAAAGGGTATTGAGTAAAAGAGGAAAAGAAGGCGGAGCCATTGTTCTGCTTCCCCTTCCTTTCCCCGACTCTATATTTTAGTAGATTAGGAAAAACCTGAAATAGAGCTCTGAGAATTGGCAGTTCCTTGCCAAGAGGGACCCGCCTGTCATCTCATGCGCACTCAGAACAGGAAGGTAAAGGCTCTGCTCCATATTTTCCCTTTGGGGTCTTTTTTGGGGCATTCTGACCAAACAGCAGTGATAAAACCAGGTGTGAGGCAATGACAGAAAATAAGAGGTGCTGTGGCTGTTTGTGTTCGGAATGAGCTGACGATGAGCTGGGGATAAGCAGCAGCCTGCTGTGGCAGTTTTAAAAGCACAGATCTGGTAGATAAGGCCCATTGAGAGGAATAAGGAAAAGGAGCTGTGTATTGTTTGACTTGTTTGGTAACTTTTCCCACAGCATTTCGAATCAAAGGTACATGAAAGGAACTCAGTCTTTCCGTATGTATTTGTGGTTTTCTACTTACTATGTATTATTCACTCTCAGAAAATTGTTTTAGTACAATAACACTTGAGTTGCTTTCCCTTTCGCTTGGCAAAATTGCAGCACCTGTGGAAGTTTCATTCGCTCTTAATTATGTGACTTTGTCCTTCTTCTTTAGAAACTGTTCAGAAGAGAAATTCAACCCCCATTTAAACCTGCTTCTGGAAAACCAGAAGATACCTTTTGTTTTGATCCAGAATTCACAGCAAAAACACCAAAAGGTAATTAAATGTGCACAGTAATAAACTGGGGGAGGTTCTTTAGACAAATTAATGGTACAGCAACAAGCTGGCTAAGAGAAAAAGCCGGAGACAAAACTTAAAGGAAAAGGTACAACAGGATTCCAGTCCTTTGAAGGAGTATGTTCTCCTCAGTGGCTTCGTATTCTTTGAAATATTCTGTTAAACTGATTCGCCAATAAAAAAAAAATAAATGAAGGGACTATTGACAGCTAATCAAATGTGTGTGCCTCTAGATTCTCCAGGAGTCCCACCAAGTGCAAATGCACATCAGCTCTTCAAAGGATTTAGTTTTGTTGCAACGACTACTGTAGAAGATCATAAAATATCACCCCTCACCAACATATTACCCATAGTCCAGGTAACGTTTGATCTTGGGGGAATTTTTTTGACATACCAAGGTGACCAGTATTTAGTGTTTCCAGTCTGTTCTGTTGTGTCTGGGGGGGACTATTATTAAAGCCATTTCCATGGGATGTTTCTACATTTTAAAAAGCGAGTTGCTGTGTTTCTGGGGGTGCAGTCCAAAAGAGAAGCGTGGGCAAGCAGAAGAAACTTCTGCTGTTGGAAACAAAGAGTGTCTTGTTGCTTTGGATAACAGCTTGTATGTATGTGTTTTGGTTTTTATTTGTTGTTTGGTTTGGGTTTTTTTTAAGCAACTTCATGGGAACAGCGCACAGTTTACTGATGTGTACGAACTGAAGGAAGATATTGGTGTTGGTTCCTACTCCGTTTGCAAACGCTGTATACACATAGCTACAAATATGGAGTTTGCTGTAAAGGTACTTCTGAATAAATTTCACTGACAGTTCTGAATTTATTGTGTAGCAGACTTGTAAATTTAAATGCGGGAATTTTCTAGTTGCTGTTTATAGGCTGTGAGAAATGAAAAACTGTTTTCTTCATTTGTTTAAATTTTTGTGGGTAAGGTTTTATGGCCTTGAAGAACTGGCTTGGCAATTATAATCCTGAAGCCTAAAAAATACGGTACAAGGAACAAACCTGAAATCAGATCCACAAGGGGGGAAGCAGGCTGCGGGGAAGCAGTGGTACTTCAGACAGTTCGCTGCATTTCCTTGTCCACTGGAGCGGAATCAGCTGCGTTCATGATACACTTCTAACCGGTAGCAAGGAGAGAGCAAGGAATGAATAAACAGTGGGATGTGAAGCTGGAAGATGAATTAGTCATGATTAGTAAGAAGCAACGAACCCTAGAGATGCTTTTAGTCTGTTGAAGTAAGAATATAAATACAAAAACCACCCTTTTTTATTAAATAGACTTTCTTTAGCCAATTTGTTTTTCCTGTTGTATGTTTGGCAGATAATTGATAAAAGCAAGAGGGATCCCTCAGAAGAAATTGAGATTCTCATGCGTTATGGACAACATCCAAACATTATTACTTTAAAGGATGTACGTACCTCTCTTTTCTTTTTTCTCTGCTACCTCTTATTACACAGTAGTCATAAATAAATATAGACATAAGGAGTTTATTGGGCTTTATTGTATTTCTTTTACATAGTGAAATATATTAGGAGAACAGTACGTACAATCAAGTGGTGAATGTTTCCAAATAGCACATTGTCCTGATATTTTTTTCTAAATACTCTTTAGTGAACTTGAAGTGCTTAAGGAATCATGTCAAGGTTAGACATGGTGTATTTCCTCTTATTTCAAATGAGCAGCTAATGCGTAGTCTGAAAAAGCAGTTGCGTGTGGTCCCGTGTGTGCAGTCCTGGCAGCTGAAAGGTGTCCCGGGAGTGGCAGAGCTATCCTCCTCATGGAGCAGAACTTTGTAGCCTGAAAAATTTAGTTCCAAGTACTAGCTGTGTGTGTATTTATATGTGTATGCGCTTGTTCAACGTACCAGGTGTATGATGATGGTAGATTCATCTACCTTGTCACGGAACTGATGAAAGGAGGCGAGCTGCTTGATCGAATTCTCAGGCAGAAGTTCTTCTCGGAACGTGAGGCCAGCGCCGTGTTATACACCATCGCCAAGACCGTGGACTACCTGCACTGCCAAGGAGTGAGTGATTCCTTCTCTGACATCGCTTCTTTCGCGTTTCTTAAAATTAACAAGTGCCTTTTGTTCCGTGCTTTGGTTGGCTTGTTTTTCTGGCAGAAGGGAAGAAGATTTTCAAGTGTTTTATGGCAAAGGTGAATAACACAAACAGCTCGCCCTGTTATTCTGGCAAGGCCTTTTGACTCTGCTTTTACGGTTTAGGAAACAGCAGATATTTGCACTTAGGTTTGTTGGCAAATGGTTTTGATAGCTCCAGTTTCATTATGAGGCAGTAAGTTTTGGGTTTTTTATAATGTTACTTGAACTAGAATTTTTTGTAACTTGGAAGTTATTGCATGGAACTATTAAAAGCTATTCTCTAGATTAATACACTTATTAGAAATTGCAAATTACATACGAACAACTGTACGTGCAACTGCTACATGATAGATTTTTCCAATGTCTTTGTTTAAAGGTAGTGCATCGAGACCTTAAACCTAGTAATATTTTATATACGGATGATTCAAATAATGCTGATTCTATCAGGATTTGTGATTTTGGATTTGCAAAACAACTTCGAGGAGAAAATGGACTACTCCTAACGCCGTGCTACACTGCAAACTTTGTGGCACCAGAGGTATCTTAAGTTGCTGTGTGTTTTCTCTGTGTTTTTTTCGATGGATCCAGTACTTAAACTTTTCAGCAGTGCTTTAAAAAAAGTCTTCTAGTTTTCCTTGAACATAATTATACATACTTTATAAACACCAGTGCATAAGTTTATTATAAACCTGCTTTAAAAATAGCAGAATCCACCCTCAAAAATAAGATGTAAGCTTGTTGAGAATCTTAAGAGATGATGTTCTGTGAGCAAGAGATGTTGTTGATAGGTGCTCTAACCTGTATCTTGAAAAATGAATACTCAAACCTCTGAAATCAGAATTGACTTCCCATTCCTTAGGCTGTGCCGTGGCATTGGTTGGGGTGTTTTTTTTAATACATGACAAGTCTTTTAACATTCTTTGTTTTATAGGTTCTCATGAGACAGGGATATGATGCTGCTTGTGACATATGGAGCTTGGGTGTTCTTCTTTACACAATGTTGGCAGGGTGAGAAATATTTCTTAGCTTTTTTTATTTACTTAAAATGCCAGCATGCTGCTTGAATCCCTGCTTTCATTAAGAACTGTAAGGTATTACTTCATTGATTTGAATGCGGAGTGACAAAGACTGCAGTGGAACAGGAAGCCGTAAGTAAACGCGTACATAAACTAGACTTATCTGAGGGGGAGGTTCAAGGCTGCAGAAACAGAACATAAAATAAACCAAATGGATGGGAAACCTTGGCAGCTGCTGTGACCCTCCAAAACTATTCTTGTGTTTAAACCTCCCAAACTCCCTGAAGTAAAAAGCGATCGGGGAAATTTTCTTAGAGTTTTCCCCATGTGGTAAGAGGGTGTGTGTACCGTGTACTTGTTCTCTTGATGAACTGCACGTACCCTACACGCGGTGTTACTCCAGCTTTATTGAGTACTGCTCCAGGTTCGGATTCCTTCACGTGCTCCGGTAATGGAGCCTGATTTGTGTTTGTGAGTCACTTCTGTTTAACTTGAAAGTCTGCACTGATTAGAATGTGTTATTGAGCTATTAATTTGAGACCCCTTTTTAGTCTGCATTTCCCATTTATTCTACTTGATTAACCACAATTAGGGGGAAAAGAAAATAATATAGTTTCGAAGATGAAATGCTAATATGAGTAGTATTTAATAATGTGTTTCCGTCAGCGGTGGGATATCTGCTTGGAATGATTCACAAGGTTTTGCTGATTTCTTGATTCTTTTTGATGTAAAATGAGACTCTTTGTTCTTTACTTTTTTTTTTTCCTTTCAACAGCTATACTCCATTTGCCAATGGTCCTAACGATACTCCAGAGGAGATCCTGGTACGGATAGGCAGTGGAAAATTCTCTTTAAGTGGCGGCAACTGGGACACTGTTTCAGATGCAGCAAAGGTGTAAATGTGTTCTGTTTTCATTCTCTTCTTATATTTTTGTGGAATTCAAATGAATATCTACTGAACTTCATAAAGGAGACCAGTCTCCAGTTTGGTGCCCTGCTGCCAACTTGGCACTTGCTTCCTTCTGCCAGGTCACTGATAGACTTTAAATACGATAGATCCCAACACAGGCTTTCCTAATCATCTGTAGTTTTTCTTATTCCTTGTTTTTATTGGACCAAAGTCAGGTGTTTGTGGGCTTCCTTAAATGGAAGGGTGACTTCGTACAATTTTCTGTTAGTTCTAGTAGCTAACAGTTTGTATTAATGGTTCGTTGGGTTTTTTTGTGGTGCAATTACTTAAATGTTGTTCAACACCGAGGCCACCAGGTCCTTTGTCTTTGTTAGTACTTTCAGCAACTAAACTAGTACTTTAAACAACCGAATATATCTGGATATCTTGCCAAAAATCTTAATCAGCTTGATTATGCAGCTCTCTCTTTTTTTATTTTTAAAGCCTGCATCTCTCAGCAATTGCTCTGTGTGTTCTCTGGGTTTGATGTTGGCCTGGTCTATGGGTATCTTAATCACCAGTGTTACCTTTTTCTAAACCTTGGCATTAATATTAAATCTTTTCCTGATCCTTTGGAACTGCACCATTTGTTCATTTTGGTAGGAGTGATTCAGAACACTTGTTGGCTGGGGCTGTCTTAGCACGAGTAATTCACTTCTGTGTATTTGGAAACGCGTCACATTTTGTGCCTAAAACAAAGGGAACATTCTGTCAGCTTGCTCATATTTTGTTTCCTTTCCAGCTATTCCTGTCTCTGATCTGTGCCCTTCCCACTCGTTCTTTTGACCAATGTAGTAATTAGTAGCTAATTGCTAATGCTTCTCAACAGGCAAAACCAGGTGTCCCTTTCTGTTTGCTTTACGCTATAGGAAGGAAAAATTCTCTGATAGTGTATCGCTGTATATGAATTGAACTATGTAGTGAGCAGACTGTAAATAGGTAGAGCAAATGAGATGTTTACAATTAATAGCTTCCTTCTATAAAATCTGTCTGCTAAATTTTAGTAGGATTTCTAGTGTAAAACTTCTATTAACGATAAGCAAACTGAAATATGAAACACACAAACAACAATAAGTTCCTTTACAATGAAGGCTTGCTCTGTTAAACTGATTAAATAGTACACCACATTGTTTGCTGCCTTCTGTGGTGTCCAGGCACAGAATGATCCGATTTATCTGCTGATTTCTCTGTGTGTGTGTTTGTGTTGTGTTAATTCCTGCCACATTTTTCCCTTTTTAAAGTCTAAATTACTTTTTCTTTCTTTTTTTTTTTTTTTTAACTAATCTGTGTGGGTTTCATTTTTGTCTAGGACTTGTTATCACACATGCTCCATGTAGATCCCCACCAGCGGTACACAGCAGAGCAAGTGTTAAAGCACTCGTGGATAGCCTGTAGGGACCAGCTGCCGCATTACCAGCTAAACAGGCAAGACGCGCCGCATCTAGTAAAGGTAAAAGGACCTGAAGGTGGAACGTTGCGTGAGTTGGTGTTACAGGCAGAACTCATCTTTTTCTTTTTTTCTTGAGATGAGCTTTCTTTTGGTTTTCTCTATTTCATCGTTTTCATATTTAAGTTACGTAAGCGCAGACAAATTATTGGAAAGCCGATTTATTTTTTTTTAACCTATATGTAAAGGAGGAGATTCTTCTGAGCGTTTTCTTTTCAAAGATTAAGGTAGCTTTGGCTGTATAGAAACCTGGTGAAGGTACTTGAGACTGCCACAGGTCTCGCATTCTTACGCAAGAAATCTTTTGGGATTTCTGTGGCTGGGTCATATTGTGCTTTCCTAAAATACTTTTTTTTTTTTCTTCCCCACCCATATTTTACCTGTTGGTTCTCTGCATTTCTTAGTTGTGACACAAAATGATCCTGCCCTAAGCAGCCAATTTTTAAGCTGAATTAATTAGTTTTGTTGGATTCAAAACCAAGGATGTGCGATAACCAATATTAGTTGTGTTCATAAATTAGGACTGGAACAGCCATTTCAGTGGCTGTATTTGATAAATTGTTCCCTGGAAGATACTGATTCTGACCCAAATTAAAATGTTATTCTAAGGTATGTAAAGAAAGAAAAAAAAAAACAAACACAAAAACAACGAACCACCACACAGGAAAGAAAAAGAAATGTCAGACACCCATCCATAGAAATCTGAAGGATTTGGCAATAAGTGTTTTGTTCGTTTCAAAACAAACTTTAGGGAATGTGCATGACCTGCCAGAAGTCCTGTGGGTTTTTTTTTTGATAGCATTTATTAAGAATTTAATAGTCAACTGCTTTACTTTTGGATAAAAATGACCTTTACAGCCTTTTATGTATCTCATTGTTCTCCAGGGAGCCATGGCTGCTACATATTCTGCACTGAATCACAAGACATTTCAGCCAGTGTTGGAGCCTGTTGCAGCTTCGAGTTTAGCTCAGCGACGGAGCATGAAAAAACTAACATCAACAGACTTATAGATCCACTGGGGCACCTGAGCGCACAGAAGCAAGGGGAAAATCCAATAAGTGGCTCTATTTTGCCTGACCTGTGATCAAAAGGCATCTATGGTTTCCTGCTACACTACTTGAATTCTGTACAAGTCCTTTTTTTAAAAAGAAAAAAAAATAATCCACAGGTTCATACTGTGTTGTTTTACAGGCAGTATCTGTTAAATTAATTTAAACATCAGGTACACCATAATGAATTTCTCTACACTGTCCTTTAAGAGATCTGTTGCAAATATTCTTTCACATTCTGTATAGTTTTGCTGGGTTCATTTAAAAAAAGTGGTTTAGGGGACCGTTGCCAATGCCCAAGTTGTACATAAAGTGTCAGTGTAAGTTACCTTCTCGTCGCACCTTTCGACCCTGTTGCAAAGGACAAATTCTTAATTTGGGCACTTAATTCATTCAGCTTTAATTCATTTGACTTGTTCATTACTCTGATGAAAAGCTGACTAAGGTATTGTGCCGGTGTGAAATGCATTAGCGTTGATTTGGAAGGTCTGCGTTCACACGGTGCCAGTAACCGACACGTTTTTATGTGAAAACACAAAGAAAAGGGATGCGTGAGATTCTGCACTTGACCCGTGAACTTAATTTGTTCGCTCGTGATCCAAAATTAACAAATGGCACCTTACGGGTAAATGAGCATTTCTAGTTGTTACCACGAACGATATTTTGTCCTGCGCTGAGCTGGAGAAAACAAGTATGTGTTTAAATTGTCGAATTTAAGGATCTTAATAATGTTGGTACCAATTTAAGACATCATGCAATCCAGTATTTTTTATTTATATTGTCTACCCATAAGTACAACTACTCTGTTCATGTTTCCCTGGCAGTTGTTTCCACTGAATATACCCAATATTAAGTTTGTTTGGCATATAAGACAAACTGACACTTTATTATAACAAACTTGGCATGTGGATTTTATTTTTTTATTTATTTGATTTTTAGAGAACGTTGCTTCTATCCGAATCTCATGCCGCGTGTACAAATATTACAGGACATAAATGCAAAATTCTGTTTGCCTAATTGTAGGGATAGGTTGGGAAAAGAAAGAAGCCTTGCAGTGTGCCCAGATAAGGGAATCCTGACCAAGAAATTTCACAGTTATGGACAAGTTACTGAGAATATCACATCACCAGCCCTCGCTCACCGTCTCTGTCTTGGTGTTTAGAAGTTTCAGTTGTTTGTAGATGCTGTGATGGAGAAAAAAGTTAATTTCAGGGCCAGAATTATCTTGGGAGTTTCTGACTCAAAACCACTGCTGACTGCCAGTAGACTGGAAGCTGATGCGCTCGGAGATGATGAAATACTTGAAAGTGTTTTCAAAAGTTCTCGACAGTACTGTGCAGTCGTACTGTTACGGTGGGATGATACGTGTTTTAAATATTTTGAGTGTATTCCTGACTGACACGTAGACTGTGAACAGAGAATCCAAGCAACCAAAAATCAAATGTAGTTCAGACTGATTTGCTATCCTTGAATTTCCTGTTCTGGATGCTTTGGGGTTGGCAAAACATCAGGGATGTGGCATTTTGAGACAGGAAAAAACGCTTTCAGGAGGATTCTGGCCCTGCTGCCAAGAGTGACAACAGTAACTTGGATTTGAAAAGGCGGAGGGTGCTGGTTGGTTTTTGTTCATACCTCTGAAGTCCTTGGTGGCATTGGAAGTACTATTAGGTAAGCTGCTTTCTTTTGTTGTGGTGAGGGAAGATGGACATTTTCTGGCCAAATAGTTAGGTATGAATATATGTAGATTTGAGACGTAATGAATATAGCCAACATAGGTGTGCTGTTTTGTATCCTGCAGAACATACCCCGTACGAAAGTCCTGGAGTGTTTGATAGATGTTGGAAGCTTTAGGGGCCATTTGTGCCTGGTTTTGAGGTGCCTGGTTTGAAATGCTTGAAAGCTTATCAAAGAACACAACTGCTTCCTGGAAAGCTTCTTGTTCGTACAATTCTGCCCCTTAGGCAGCTGGTTCATCCTCCTTTTCAGTTCTGAAGACCTTTGCCAGCAAGAATGCCTGTAAACCTCTCGTCTACGTCTTACCGGCATAATTTTTCTGTAAATTTATAAATGACTGTCAGAAGAATTTGAATTCACTCTAAAGAAAAAGAAAACAAAATCCCACAACAACAAAGCAAGGAAAATAAAGCCCCCTTAGCCAAAGTGTAATGTGGGTTGGAACGTAGTCGTAAAAACGGTGTTTGGGGGTAAGAGGGTAATGCAAGGTGCGGAACGCAACTGAAATGTCAGACTTGAATTGGCTTCATCTTTCCCGTAAGGTAGCAGCTGGTCTTTAATGGCTTTATTCATGAATCATTTAACAATGTTTGTATTGGTATTTTCTTTTAGCTTGCTTAGAAGCACCACATTATAAGCACCTTAAAAGCATTTTGCACAAAAGCGGTTGTAAGCAGCTCGAGGTACTTAAGTTGTTCTGGGTGTGCAGCACAAAGGTCATAAGAGGAAAAACACACAAGATGGATATTCTGATTCTTAGCAAAGAATTTAAACCATCTTCTCTGAAGTTATCCCTGCTGGTTTTGTATCGTTAGGAGCCTTTACTGCCAGAGGTACTCGTGTAGTAAAAAGCAAGGTTTTGGTAACTGCGGCGTTACGAAGTTGTATTACCACAAGGAAGACGTATGGACAAACACCTTTGCAGTATCCAACAGGCCGGTGTACCCGAGTATGGCAATTTTCATCCTTAATTTGTGGGGGAAGTTCGCTCGCTACAAATATTTGAACATATTGGTCTTTGAAACATTTTGGATATGCGGGGATACAAAAGAGTTCGCTTGCAGTTTGCTCTTACTGTATAATATTTAGTGATGGTCTTCTTTGTGATACTTCGTTTTGGAATGTCTTGCATACTTCTCATCTCTTTTTTTTTTTTTCCAAACTTAGGTTTTGTTCAGTTAAAGTAGCATGGTCTGCTCATGGGTAATCAGCCAAATCTTTGAAATGGAAGAACACTTAATTTGAACTCTTGGCTGGAGTGAATGGTCAGTGTAAATAGTTTCACTTTTGTCACTGCACTGGTCAGGATTACAAAGTAGTGATGACCTAACTACCTGATTAATTTTTATTTTTTTTTTTAAAAACCCACCACTAAGAGCAACATTTTTACAAAGGCTTAAAATTACAAAGAAATAGGCTACATACTCTGTATTTAGAGGAATTTCCAGAGAACTATTTAATATCTTAAATGATACAATATTTTGGATATGGCTTCTGCTACTGCCAGGAAAACAGCTTCTACTCCAACATTTGGCAATAGCAGTTACAAATTTGTGCTAGTTCTTGAGGGCTGAAGAGATTCCCACAGGCTTCAGCTGGAGCAGGCTCATGTTTCATTGTTCTTTCACCCTTTGGACGTGGCAGTTTCTATCTTCAGGTATTCTTTTGGGTAAAAAGCGAGGAACTCTGTTATATCCCTGTTCTGTATCCAAAAACTATGTAGTGGCATCAAATTCTCTCTACCCGTGCACAGAGCCGGAGGTGTCAGTGGTCTCAGCATGCTGTCCATTTGAAGGCTATGTCGTTGTCTGGTTTAAACATCCTCCTTGCATCCAAAACCTCACCCAAGTCAGTCATACCGAGCTTGAGTTCTGTCTTCCACGTTTTCACGCGTTTTCTGATACTTAAAATTACCTCTGGGAAACTTCCAACGATTGGAAATTACTTGCGGCGTACTTTTACAATTGGAGATTGCTGCATGCAGTACTCCGCTCTCTGTCCTCAAATGTTACAATTAAAAAGTTGAGATAGCTGGTAATCATAAGTTAAATTAATTACATGATACTATAGTAATTATCCTGATTTGTATCCATTAAATTAGGCTAAAACACCAGCACAAACACAGGGTTTTATGTACTTCCCTAGCACTTAAGTGTCTCAGTCCTATCCAAAATCAGAAGTTTGCAAATATTTGTGGGGAGGGAAGGGAGGAGCAGGTTTTTCTTTGAAGTTTTCAGCAGGCTTCTGAGGCCGTGATAGTAGAGTCCTCATGTAATCCTAAGGGAGCTCTATATGATTACAAAAAGAAAAAAAATCATTTCTCCTTGAAAGTTTATTCAAAAACTTTCTTGGGTGTCTGTTGCTACCTGCTGGTAACACGCCTGCGCTGCGATCCGTACTGTGCTGTCACCCCTTTAGTGAAGTACATTCTAAATACTGTTTGTCCCTACTTCAGTATTTTTATTTCTTTTTAACGTTTGCTCCCCTGGATTATGCTGTTGATAAGCCTACGTTTTCCTTTGGAAGTAGAAGAATGAATGCAAAATTAAAAAAAAAAAACCCCCACCCACCCTTAGTGTATAGCTAAAGCTGACCTGAGTGTTATAGTAACTTTTGTAACTAGAAGTGTTCCCCCCACCCCAAATAATCAGTGACTGGTTTTCTTGAGATGTTTCCTATATAATGAAAACAAACTTTCTTTGAAAGCTTTAAAAGATATTTAATCAATCCTGTCTCTTAATAATTAAGATTTGGGCAGTAGCTTATTACCAATAGTGAGTTTGACTAACATTGAATCCTGGTTTGGGAGTGTCTTTTATTTCTTTTTTTAATGTGAGAACTGAAAAGCCACTTGAGGTGGATCTCCTTTGCAGGACAAAGTGTTCCTATTTTGTGCGTTTTGCATTCGGCTTACGAGCAGCATTCGCTAAGTAATTGCGTTGTCATAATATCCCAAGCACTTTGGCATCTTGCACTGATACTCTTGATTAGAGCTCAAAACTCTTCTGGCACGTGACTGGCTATAAATCTCAATATACGAAAGGGCATTAATTGAAAACGGTGTGCAATGAATTCCACGCTCTCCGAGGTACTTCAAAGACAAAACTCGACAAAAGGTCCCCGTTATCAGATATTGTAACTTGTCATTTCTTTCTCTAAGCATATTGTGGATTTTGTATCATATTGTATTTATTTCATTTAATTTTAAGACAAAAAAAAAATGTTTTCTTTAAAGCTCTGTATATATTGACATTAAAGTTTGCATTGTACTACGTTCTCTTCTCCTTGTAAGGCTGAATCTGGTAGTGCATTGTATGGTATGTTGTTTTTCTTTGCACTGTGCTGCTAAAAGATACTATTGCCTTGAATTACGACA